TTGTCAAGCATTTTTTTTTTATTTCATATCAAATCTTTTTATATTTATTCTATATTATGGTATATTCTGATTCAACACTATCTACTACAACAAAAAAGTTTCTGGTCCAAAATCAAAGTATATAGGTATGCTTGTATCTCTTTACATTGTAAGATTGACTTTTCATGAAAATTGAATAGTCTTTTTAATTTTTCATTTTCCAAATATTTTGACAAAAAAACTTAGTTTTAAACCAATGCACATGATATGAGCAGAAACACATTTTGTTTTCAATGTAAACAGCATGTTGGGTATATTTGCTGAGTAATTGTTGCAAATATGAGACAGACTGTGAAATTTGGTAACAACAGATACATCCAATCACCTTGTACGGTACAAGTATTGCTGTGTATACTTACACATGCATGTACTTGCTTATTCTCATCAGTTTAGTACCAAATGTGTTGAATTGTTATAATTGTAAGTTGTTAGCCTTTGAAAGAAGCTGCATAATGTTTTCCATATTATTTTTAAAAAGTTGACCATAAACTGTATACCAAATGGAAAATGGGCATAGCATTTGGTGCAAAATTAATAAATAGAGGAAAATACTTAAAAATGTGCAAAATATTGCAGAAACAAAATTGTCAAAATGGCGAGAAAAATTATGACACTCAAAAATAGTCATACATGCATGAGCAAATTGTATTCATTCTATAAAACAAATATTCATACATGATGTGGTGCTACAGGTGGCGCTATTACCCATGATGCAATTGTATTTCCTTGTCATTGGATTCAAACCTGTGCGGGCAGTGTTCTCAGCAACATGGACACAATGCATCAATCAATATCATTGATGTACATAGTACAATGTTGCCAGGTTCACTATACATGTATGATTTTCGTTTTTATAACGATTTAGTGTTTGCCTCAAACGTCATTATTTTTGTTGCTATTAAAAAAGCTGCAAATTCTGGATATATGTTTCACATCTCTCACATGTACATCAGATGACTGCCTCCTTATGGTTTTGAAGAAGGGTTGCTGTAAATACATTTTAGTAAATTGACGGTAGAAGTGCTTACCCTGGCTGAATACGTGCTCTATCGGTGAGTGCTAACATAGCCGTACCAAAGGAAACAGGAAGTGCAGCAGCTTGCTGGAAGCTCACATTGCCAGGAATGTGCCAAAGAGTCTAAGGAATTTTACCATTGTTAGTAATTAGTAATAAGGTTATAAAAAAAACAAGTATGTTAAAAACAAATGTCAATTTCATTATGCAGTGGGGGTTCAGGCTTAATTCAAAATGTTATGTCCATTAAGATCCCGAAACATTATAAAAAAATTCAGGTCGCCAAATTAATTTTTGTGGAAGTCCCAAATGCCTGGGAAATAAAAATAAGCAATATTTGTTACTTTGCACTGGTTTCCCGGGTATAATTATTTCTTCCATGTCTTAACATTTTTCTCAGTGACATACAATGAAACAAGCCGGTAGGCTGGTTGGCGTTCCGCTCCACTAAAAACACAAACATCATGTTTTCAGCTGTTGCCATGGTAGGACATAAACGTGAAAGAAATGTCGGTTTACAACTAAAATCAGTGTCACGTATACAAAGTTCCCAGAAAGCACTTAGTCAATAGAAGTCACTTTACTTTATTAATAGCACATATTTTGCTGTTATAATTATTATTTCTGATCGTTTTGCCATTGAATTTTCTAGATTCCTTGATTGAATGCAGCATTTACAGTTCATTCAAAGTTGCCTTGCCAGGGACTTACATTGATACAGTGTATAATTTTTATGGCAATCCTAGTGGAGCGGATCATCAAAAGTCATATATTATTGTTGATATGAATTCAAATATTGTTTAAACATTTCCAAAAAATTTACATTTAATTTTGTTGTTCAGCGTGATAATAGTTTTCCAATACATTGCATATATGTATTGTAATATTCATAGAGTGAGGAGTACAAATATGAATTTAGCTTGAGTCATCAATGTACTTAAATCAAGTAAGTTTATAGAAACAGGGATTGAATGGCTTACAGCAATAAAGTGAGTTTGTGCCAGATAAAATCTAGACAATTTTATTTTTATTTCTTCTTTATCAATCATTTATTGTGCAATGTGTGAAACAAAGCATAACACCTTACCTGGGGACTTAAGACAACTTCTTCTGAAAATCCATCAGCCATGGAAATGCCAAACACTCTGTCACCCTAACGATTGAAGTAATGCAGTAAATTAGGACCAATGTAATGCAGCAAGCCTGAGCGAAATCTGTCAACTCTGTCCGTACGTAAAACAACTCACAGCAATCAACTGTGTCAAGAATGGTGAAATCAAGACAAGGGCTGCATGTGCTGCATGTCGATGAGTCCACTATTAAAATTTTAAAATTGACCAAGAAGCGGACTGAACAGAAAATGTGTGAAATTATCTGACAAAGATGACATTGAAAAAAACTGTGATGCTTTACAATAAAGAAACTGCACTAAGATTAAACCCATGTGTGTACATGTTTTTTTCAAAGCACGAACCCCACTTTCACAAAGCAACCTCCGATAAGTCATGTTTTTTGCTTGGATCCCGACATTTACAACTTAGAGAGAGGTCACTGTATCATTTCACAAATATTCAAAATAGTAGAAAGTGCCAAATTGACAACAAAAAAATCATTCACTTCAGAAGTAAATTGCAAGATGCATTATGATATGACACTTCGAAAAGACTTTTTAAAGTTAACTAGGCTTCAAAATGATTTATCAGAGACAAGTTAGACTCAAAAAAAATGTTGTCCAATACCTTATTGAATCTCACCACATTATCAGCGACTTCTGTTACTTCACCGGATACTTCAAATCCTGCATTATCATGAATACAAACAATTATTGTGAATTTATCTCACATTTGGTGTAATCAGTTCAGTACATTAATTTTTTATTTATTTAAGTTTAAAACATTTTTAAGGACTTGTATTTCAAGGCAATATTGTTCATTTTTAGTACATCTAGGGAAATAGGAATCAGGATAATACAAAATGCAAGATGGAATCCAGTATAACATTATCATACATCTGTCACCGTAACGCCATAAGTTACAGCGTGCCACAATTTTGCGGTATTTTACGGGGTATTTTCATCCTACCATATTAGGAAATGCGAAATGATTACACGCGTAAGCGTCCTCTAATAATAAAAACAAACATGGCTGCCACCAGGGGTTGACCAGACTCCACACAAAGAAGTTCGCTGATTCTGTTCTAAACTATTTAGATTTTGGTATTCCCATGATGTATTCTTAGTAGGAAAAGATAATAATAAGGTTATCACGAAGATACCTCAAAGAATGCACTCAGACAGTACGGTGTCGCATACTGTCGCTGTACTGTCTTCGTGTATACTTTGAGGTATCTTCGTAATACCCGTATATTATTTTGACTTCAACTTTGTTCCAACAAACAAATATTTTTAATCTCGTAAATTTGGGTGGTACATAATTAATATTTTTTGTGACCATTTCTGTTTCTTCATTGTAAAAGTCAATGACGACGCAATTTCGTAATTTAATTTTCCCTCAAATAGTCTAGCTGTCACATGAATTGAATGAATGGTGATTTAAAATTTTCATTTGCACTCTATTTCGAGGGGGGGTGCTCGGGTAAATCATGATTTTCTGAGTTGAGGATCCTGGGCGCTAACGTGGTCGAATACGGTAGAAGCAAACACATTTTTTGACTTAGATTATTTCTGTTTATAGAATCAAACCAATTAATTAAAGTATTACATGCATTCTGTGATTGGAACATTGGTCTGAAATAAGCTTTAATCACTCATTTGTGGAATGACATATTCATCATATGTATTAACATGGAAATAACAGTTGCATATACAATATAATATCATCTCACTCTGCAATGAGATTATACATAACAAAACAAAGAGAAAAAAAGAAAGCGCCAAAGTCATTCTAAAACACAGTTACTGTCTTGTTAAGACTCCAGGTTCTTAATGAAATAAGCTATGGTAAGTAACGTACTGGTATTAGCCTTAAATCCTTGATTTTATCCGGTAAGTAATATTTCTTCTTACCTGGTACAAATGGTGGAGCTTCCTGTCTTTGATAAACTCCTTTGATACACAAATTATCAGCAAAATTGACACCAGCGCACTGCACAGCAACTCGAACTGAACCTGATCTGAGTTTATCAACCCTGGGTACGTTTCTGATGACTAACGGTTTGGCAAATTCTTCGCACACTGCCGCTCTGTGCGACGTCCTTATCGTTGATCCGTGTTAGATTCAATGATGGCCTCACTACGCCGATACGAAAACTATTTCTAAAAAAATGATAAGTATGAGAGAGATTATAAAAAAGGAATAAAACCGTGAATTCCTGAAAGTTCTAATCCCTGAATAATAGAACAAATGTTATTGAGTCGCATTTTATTTACTGTAGAATACTTTATTTTCGCTTGGAATTTATTTTCGCTATTTTCGCTGAAGGGATGATTTCGTGAGAATAAAATCCAGCGAATATACTTTTTTTCCTATATTTCACATTAAACTCATCAAAAATCAGTGAAATAAATTCCATGCAAAACGCCCAAAAAGCCTTTTCAGCGAAAATTAATTCCAGCGAAAATAAAGTATTCCACAGTACTAGCATACTGTATTTACACTGACATCACAACTGTACATTTCACCATGGTTTTAACAACAATAATTTTATAAGGAGGGCAAGGTAAAAGACCAACCAGCAAGCTGTTAGACAGTATACCTAGACAGATACTAAAATACTAATACCATAAATCTGTGGCTACAGACTAATAACTATTATCTTGTATAGATTTGTATATTTTTTTGACAAGCAATTTTCATTTTCTCGCTATAACCCTGTCAAGTAGAGAACAAATACCAGAAGCTTGAAATAGTATGATAGAATGTACACATGTAGAGTTTTCATAATAGAGCACTTTTGTATTTGTCAGCAAATCTTTGTTGAAAACCCTTACAATTTTGAATAATTGGCTAAGTATTGGAAAGTTACAGTGTTCACAAGTTAGACTGGTTGAAATGAGATATACTGCACATTTTAGGTACCTAACCTAATATTAGTTGGCTGATTCACAGTCCCTCAGAGGGACTGTGGCTGATTACATGTACATGATTACGTCACAGTCCCTCTATAGTGATAGAGGGACTGTGATTACGTGGACTGATCATGAATTTTAGATCAAACCCTAATTTATAACCACATTGACACTGTACTTCACACCAACATCAACACAGTTAATTAAATAAATCCATATAAAAATTCGCTTGTATTGACAATACTGATAAATATTGTTTACTTATCTCTCAGTCTGCTCAAAGGCAGCAACCAGTAAACGAACCCTGAAATATTTTACTTATACAAGCTACACATACATCGTTATCTAGATCAGGTGGGGTATATAATCGGTGGACGGATGTTTCAGCTGCGGACTATATTTATATGAATTTCTGCTTTGTTATATACATGCAGTCTATGTGCCCTAAATGCTGGGCAATTCATAACAAAGTGGTTTTTCATCTTCAACTTTGTTTTGTGTACATTGGTCACATGATCTAGAATTACCTGCAACCTGTTTGTCTGACAGTTTCAATTTCAACAATGATTACTAACTAAAAAATCATAGTAGCTGAACATTAGTGATATCAACAAGGTAGCTTTCAGCTTTAAACCAAAGACACTGTCTTTGTTTAAACTTGTTCTTACACATTTTGTATGTACACGTACTTAACTTATTAGAGAAATAAAACCAATTTGCATTCTATTGTCATTATGATCATTTTATGATATCATTATAAAGTATTAAAAACACAGACTAATCTGTGGCATGTATGCACCAAAAATCTAACTTTGTGACAAGGTGTTAGACCTTGAGTTTGTTTAATGTTTGGTGTTTAGCACCTATGGTATCCATTATTTAGATAAGATTAACTAACTCCCATGTTTCTCAACGGCACCTACTATTTGCTTCTCATCCATAAGATATCCATGTGTAAAGGTGAAATATGCTGACAACACATTTTTGGTCTAATCATTGAACTATAAACCACAGAAAAAACAAGGAAACTAAGAGGATTAAGAAAACCTTTGTCTTAGTTTATCTTACAGTGCTTTCGCTTTTGTTTCCACAACATTAGTCATACTCCATGTTAGTTGCCGCAGATACGGCCGTATCAACCGCTTTGCTGGGAACGAAAAACTTGAAAAAAAATATTTCATATCTGCCCAGTAAAATATTTTGTTCACTACACATGCGCAAACAAGTCGGTCTGCAGGGTGACCTTCAGTGTACCGCAAGTCGTGCAACGGATCGGAGTTTAGCGAGTTTTCATCATTTTCAATGTAGTTTTTGACTTACTCGAAAAAATAAGGTTACGAAAGTTTGCGAAACATGGGGTTTGGTATGCTGTTTGTTTTCAAGATATCCCGACTTATTCCGTGTTTCCCTTCAATCGCCAGAAGTGGCAATGTTTTGTTTTTTTCCCCGTTGAATGTCGCTCATTTATCAGTGTTTTTGTCTTGGCGCCATTGTTTTTTTATGCTATAAACCAAAACAACTCGATCACGTGATCTCCCGAAGTCACACGATTGACTCCGAAAATGAACGATAGTCGGAAATTAATGTTCAATCGCGTTAATTGGCTTATTTTTTAATGCAACGAAATAAACAGTCAAAATAAACATTCAACATGGCGGCAACTATCATAGTTCAAAGGAAAGTGGTTGTACTTCCTGTGGTTTATAGTTCCATGGTTTAATTCAAATTATACCAATGTGACTGAACACAATAAGACATGCCTGACACATACAGTGTGTATCATAGATAAAAAACAACAGTCATGAATCAAAACTGTGAAAAAACAACATTTACCATTTACACTACGAAAAAACATCACAAAAGGTATGAAATTTGAAATAAGTAGACGTGTAGTTATGATAGTCAACAAAGAATAAAAATTTACATAACTATTCACACAGTCGACAGACAGCTAGTATTAACAGTTTCCAGTCGAGTAGAATATGTGAATATGTTGACGATCGATCAGTTGCAAGATACAAGTCAAAATGACGATCGCTCACCTTTACCATTTGATTCATGATGGACAGTGCAAGCGACAAATTCACTGTATCAAAACGTTTTTTTTTTCTTGTGAGAGTAGAAGCATTAAAGGAGAACCTTCCAAACCCAGGGATTGCACCAAAGAATCATGGGACACTATTGTTTATGTTGTTTATAATGTTAATCTATCTTTTGTTATCCATTGTAATTTTAATCCAGTGGATAAATTTGTTGTGATATTAGGCATAACTGGAGGTGTCCCTTTAACATTCTGGAAGCCTCAATCACATAGTTCAAACAGATAAGCAAGACAAAAGAGAAATTAACAAAAACAAAATGTTTGTTATCCCCTTAAGGTAGAGATGCAGGTTCGTGGGCACTTGGGAGTGAAATTTTTTTTTTCTTTGCTTTTATTATCCAAACAGTCTTGGCTATAGACTGTTAACATTTTGTAGAATTGTGAATAGTGGAACATAGACAAAAGACGATTTTAAAATACAGATAACAGGTACAAACATTCTCTCTTTTGAATGCTTAGCAAGATTTTGCAGGGCTGTACATAAATAATAAAACAGAGACATGGCGAAAAACAGGAATGACGGGATCTCCATATAATGCACTATATTTAACTTTTTACAAAACGATAATACATTTAAATTTGGAACTGTTACAGCCATTTTAATTATGAGCATTAGCAAACTTCTTACTGAGTGAATTGTTATGCAAATTAGCAATTATCTCAGCTTCTTTTTAGTGCACATCCCAGCACTTTAAAAAAAAAAATAGCTCCTAGACGTTTTGACCTTTTGTTTTGAAATTTTCACAACTGATTGACAATGTGTTTATCTTCAAAACGCCGTGGGGGCATTGTTTTTGGTTGAACAGTGTTACAACAGTCATACAGACAACTAGCCTGGGGTGTTAATTTATGCATAACTTGAAGTAGTGAAATTTGAGCTGCTGCCCTGCAAAATTGACAACTGGTAGACAGTTTTCAAGACGGCGTTTTCTTCATAGTAAACAGATGTACACGTAAACCAATTTTTACAGGAAACAGAAGCATGTTTTAGAAGCTAATTTTTTTTAAATCACTTTTGACCAAAAAAGAACATTTTTGTGCATATTTCAAACTACATTGTCCATAAACAAAAAATACTAACAAAATTTTAAAATTCATACAATAAGCTTTCCGAAAATATATAGTTTTGTGGACAAGGGAGGTCATCTTGGTTTCCTAATTAACTAATTAAAATACCTGTCCGGTAAACTGCATCTCTACCTTAAACACTGCTGTTCACTCAATATCTACCACTCGGTACAGTAAGACCAAACATAATCACATTCAAGGTCTAACAACTTGCCACAAAAACAGAGAGCGTTTTTTTCCTATTTCTTCAATATATACATTGTAGAAGCCATCAATTATTCTGTATACCGTAAAATCTGTATTAGAAACCGCACCCCTAATAGAAGTTGCACCCATTCTTTTTGAATAATTGAGAACTAAAAATTCATCATTTCTCATGTGTTCTCTGTTGCATTGTACCATTTTAATAGAAGCCACGGCTTCTAATACAGATTTTACAGTAGTTGCATTTTTAATAATGGTATATTAAAATTTGACAAATAAATGATAATGATTTTACAATGATAAACAACTCATGTCTACAAACAAAGGGCAAAACATTGGAGACAAACACATCTCAAAAGCATAACAAAATTATAAATATCATAGTACATATGTAATACAT